CGAGTAACACTGGCGATGTTGAATTCGTGCATCGTAAAATTCAGGTTCAGAGCTTCAAAGATCGCAATCGGTAGGCCGTTTCTGAGGATGCGACACAGGAAAGAATTCGCTCAGCTTCCGACATACCGCGGTACGTAAAATTGTCGTAGTATGCGCTCCACCTGCATCAAACTTTCGGCCTTAAACATGTCTCGTCTATTGCCGTGCTTGGTGAAAAGACCGAAGCCATCAGGCGTTGCCAAATTTCCTTTAACAAATCACGACTTTTCGGGAAAATTTGAGAATATTTCTCTCCCGATTTTTCGGAGGATTTCATTCGTAATTTCATCTAAAAAATCTGAAAATTCGAAAGGAAACTGTTCATAACTTTCTTTATAAATAAATATTTTCTGAAAGGAAGTTTGGCAACATTGGAATACTCATACGGCGTTTTTACTCAGCACAGTAGTCTGAGTCGCCGTGTCACTGGCTAGGAGTTTGGTCTCATGCTGGTATGCTAAATGACCGTTAGGAGAAAACCTCATCTTATTAGGAGTCACACTGTGGATCAGAACGAGTAATATTCGACGGGATTGAATGTTTATGGTGGTTCGCACGATTCAGTGTCTGGGTGCGGATGGTGAAAGTGAGAAAATGAGGAGGGTAGACGCGACGCGACGGAACGGATCTCATCATCAAATTAATTGGATTGACAATCCGCCGAGCACGCATCAAACAGATCTCAAACGCGAGATAACTTATAATGAAACCCTACGACCTCCGAGTCGTGTCAAGCGCCTCGTCCGACAAGGTCGTCAGACTGCACAAAAAAGAAACTTCAGAACAGGAATTTCACCGTTTAAAATCTACAATTACATTTCACCCCGACTTCTAGTTCAGGAATAGGTTTTAATGGTGATACACTGGAAAAAAAAACACATTGGATCTAGAGTCCAGACTCTTGAAAACATCGACAAGAAAAAATACTCTTGATTCAATCAGATTCAAGCTTAAATCAAGAACCAAGCCTCTTAATTTGAGCGGATTTCCTTTGATTTAAGCTTGAATCTGCTTGAATCAAGAGTCCTTTTTCTTGTCAATGTTTTCAAGAGTCTGAACTCTAGATCCAATGTGTTTTTTTTTTTCCAGTGTAGGTGGAAATGTCCAAGAACAAATGTCCAGAGTAAAATAATGTCCAATAGAAGAAAAGTCCAAGAGTAAAAAATGTCCAAGTTTGTGGAATGTCCAGTAGTGGTAACGTCGCCAAAATTAAGAGTGCCCAAATGTCCTCATAATTTTATTAATATTATTGTGTCATTTACCTGCTGGTGAGAATTTTTCATACTTCCTCATCACTTTCGTAGCGGCTCGTTGTTTTAAAAATTGATTTTTTTTTTTACTTTGGACATTCTTGCACTTTTGACATTTATCTCTGGACATTTTGTCTTATTATTGCCGTTTTAATCAGTGGGAGCAGAAATCATGTGTAGTTCAAATCATTGCTTCGAGTCCATAAATGTGATAATGTATATTTCTACCAAAAGAAGAAGAAATCACTAAGAATCGTGGCGCGAACTGTGTCCAACAAGGTGATAGAATAGTGCTGAGTTTACACTATTTTGTGGGAAAAACAAGGCTGAAAAGTGCAAAAATTTCAATCAGAGTCAAAATTTTGAGCTTTAGTGAGTGTTAGTGCAAGACTGAGATGGAAAAGTGTTCAACTTATGCAGATGTAATACTCCAATACATCTGTCTGAGCTGAACACTTTCCCATCTCAATAAAGCTCAAAATTTTAACTCTAATTGAAATTTTTGAACTCTGGCATTGTTTTTCCTGAGAAATAGTGTGGACCGAGCACTATTTTACCACCTTGTTCTTTCAGAAGCATAATGCATTTCACTACTGCTCGGAGTCCGTCACTCCGCCTCATATTCGTATGCACTACGACATATAACTCCGGTAAACTAACAGCCCGTTTCTAAAGAGCCATGCACAAAGTGGCCCATTTTTGGGCCCTCGAAATTGGGGTCGGAGTGAGGTTTTTTTTTCATCCTTAGGGTGACCCTTTACACATACTAAAATTTCAGATTGAGTATACGCACCGTTTCCGAGTTATGGGGGGGGGGGCAAAGTCCCCGATTTTCACCCATTTTTGCAGGTGTTTTAATGTCGAACTCCGGCTGTTACGAGGTACCA